ATAATATTCATGTGTAGCAGTTTCACTATGTTTGGATTTATTCTTCCCTTTACTTTGCTAATACCTGCAAATTCACCATCAGGCATAAATTTACTTTCATCACTGAGAATGGATAATGTCTTACTTTTACATTCACATTTGTTCTTGACAATCACGCCGGATCTTTTATCAGGATTTAACAAGACAATATCAGAGTTTGTTCGTACGTATTTTAGTGATTTAAAATACTGAATAGTTAATATGCTTCTCTGCTTTGCTCCACGATTAAGGAATTGGTGGGCTATACCCAACAATTTACATTGGTCTCAGCTTTGATTATTTAAAGATGTAGGGGTTAGCGTACTCAGTTGATCCAGTATCCGACACTGGATGTCAATTAGTCAAGTAAGAACAGGTGAAATCCCACATCCACATAAAAACTAATTAATGCCCTCTGCTAAACCAACAAATTCGAACGTGACACGGATATATATTCATCAAATAAATATTCATCATCAAATATTTCACTTTCATTACTAACATGATTGTCTGTGGATTCGAAATGGTCTAACGATTTATCAAGAATAATCTGACGAATCTTCGGGCAGTGGAGGTGAACGATGCGGAAGCACTTACCAACATGCAGATCTACTACACTTATTTCAATCACATTGTCTGACATGTCCTGATCCAGCAGACTTTGAAAGTAAACTTCTTTTTGATACTTAACTATGAAAAACATAGACGAGAATTTGATAACTAGTTTCGGAACTATGCAATTTGTCACCAAGAGAGTGTAATATTACAGAGCCAGTAAGAATATGTACGAGTAAACAATTATGTGATTCTGTTTTCTACAATATCAACACTATACTCAAGGTATCCACTTTAAATTTCCAAACAGAATAATCTGACGAAGCTTCGGGCAGTGGCGGTTGTCGAGTTGAACCGGGTGCTGCCTTAACTGGAATAACCGGGCGTTTGTCTAGGTTTTCGTTGCGTTTTTCCGTAAACGTCTTCATCACCAGTTGTAACATGTATAATCAGCAGTCACTGAAAGTCACAGCATATCTACGCAACGTTCCAATGTCCGGACGCTTTGACTACCTCGTACCCTACTTGAGTTATGAAGCAGTAAGAAGAGCTACAGCCAATGGCTTTGCGACAAGTAACACACTTGCGCGAAATTGGAGAATCCTAGACGACTGTTTTTCCATACCCGTGGACACCCAGCAGGTGACGATCCAGTTCTTATCACGTGACCAGAAAGCAAGCGAGAATCTGATCGACTACCTTAACTCTTTGCAGCAAATAGCAGTGCAGGCATTTCCTAGTCTAGATATCGTTGGACGAGAGTAATTAGTACGCCCGCATTTCGTCGAAGGGCTGGTGCCGGGTTCACTAAGTGAACACTTTCTCCGAAGCCCACCAGTTGATACAGCTGACTTGAAAAGAACAGTACTCCGTTTCCTGGCTGAAGACAAACTAGCGAATTCATGAGATGCACACCTACCATCGGTGATGACTGCGGAGAAAGCCACAGAATCTAGTTGCCTGGACAGTTCCCAGAGGGCAACGGCTGTTCGACTTTTCCAGCCGGGGTACCAGTCGCGGACAGTCAAGCTCGAGGTGCAGTAGATGGTCATCATGGAACAACTACCATGGCCATCAAGCTCAATGCATATACTGCAAGAGGTTTGGCAGGAATGCTGAGAGATGCGGCCATAACCCAGGTAAGCCGTGTCTTTATTATTTATCTTCTTCTCATGTTGATCATGTCTGCCCGATTGCGGTTAGAGGTAGAGTGCAAGGCGTTGAGATAGAAATACTACTAGACACGGAAGCTTCGGTATCTCTTATCAAGGAAGAGCTCTTGGGGAAACTGAACTATAAAACTCAGCAAAATCGGTGTCTCTCTACGTTAATCACAGCATGTGGCGATCCTTTGAAGCTGTGCTCTAAGATGTGGTTAGACCTCACGATAGAAAAGCATCAATTTCGGCACGAATTCTTAGTTTCTCCTGCATTAACTTGGGACATGATTCTAGGCGTTGATTTCATGTTAAAACACCAAGTCTCTATATTCATGGATAGGTCAGAAGCAAAAATTGGTGAGGCTATGGTACACCTGATCACTATGAGATGCCAACTGAGTCTATACCCCATGTGAGGATTTCAGAACTTGTACGTCAAGTACATAGCAATCAAATAATAACAGAAAATGATCACCGCGCAACGATTGCTATGTTCCAGCAGTTTAGTTCTGTGTTTGAAGAAGGTATTTCCGGAAATCAGACGACTATAGTGCAACACATTCTTCACAGGTGACCATATGCCACTTCGACAGCCACCTCGTCAGGTACCAGTGCACTACCGACCACAACTGGATGCAATGATAAGAGATACGGTAGACAAAAACATTATAGTCCCTTCGTCCTCTCCCTGGGCGTCACCTATTGTTCTAGTGAAAAAGACTCCTCTCTACGTAGATTATCGACGCCTTAATGCCGTAACTAAACGTGATCCCTTTCCGCTTCCGTTGATCGATGCTACATTAGACACCTTAAAAGGCGCAAGTTTGTTTTCGACATTGAACCTAGCGTCTGAGTACTGGCAAGTGGAAGTCAGACCGCAAGATAGGAAGAAAGCCGCATTTATAGTACCAAATGGTTTATATGGATTTCAAGTGATGCCTTTTTGTTTAACGAGTGCTCCGGCTACTTTTCAGTGACTAATGCAAACAGTTTTACAAGACAGTAACCCAGAAATGTTTGGTTTATCTTGATGGCATAATTGTGTATGGTATCACACCAGAACAACACAAAAATAGTCTGAAAGCAGTTCTTCAGAGCATAAACAACAAAATTTTAAAAACCGTCACTGTTTTTCTCTTGTGATTTGTTGCATGGTGTTCTCCACCTTTCAGTGACTGCCGATTATACGTGTTACAACTGTTTGTTAGGGCAATCACTAATTCTGGTCTCTTAAGAAGAAATATTCTTCCACGGTGTGAGCAACCAGGAAGTAACAATCGCCCCTCAGCACTCGAGATCATCCTGTTGGCGATCGAATCCCTCCCTCACCTCTTAATATTTCTTCCATCCCCACAACTAACCCTTATTTATCTTTGTCATCACGCGCCACCTATGCTAATGATTTGAGTTTACGAAATTTTATTCCTGGTTTCCTGAAACCACGCTCCAAACTATATATTGGAGCTTTTGATGTTCGAACCTTGCGTCAAATTGGAGAACAGGTTTCTTCAGTTAGGATTGTAGAATCTCGCGCCATCAATTTATTCTGCATCTTTGAAACGCGCATACAGGCTACAAGCGCGGTCATTCACTTAACTTCATCTTGTCGACACAAGGAACCGGCACGACTTACTCTTTTAGCATCTGGAGACCCCACTGCTACTTCCGGGGCTTCGCTGATGCAGGTATAGCGTTAAGTTCTAAAGTAGAACAGTTTTTGTTAGACTGGATTTCAATAGATAATCGCTTGTGCTCTGTTCAACTAAACAGAACAGTAAGAACTCGAGAAGGTAGGTTCACACACCGTTGCCTTTTCGTTGTCTCTGCCTACCCTTCCACTGATTGCAGCTCGAATAAAGTTGTGGGAAGCTACCCAACCTCCCTCAAAGAGCTAAACACTCTGGTTTAGCAACAATGGCAGGTGATTTTTATGCTCAGGTAAGTAAACTCAACAAACCGAAAGGCACTTGGGCAGATTTTACGGTGTTGCGGCTCAGAGAACAAATAATGGCAACCGTCTTGCAATTATGCTCAGATAACCGTCTATTTCTGGCAAACACCAACTTTAAGCATAAGGAGAAACGTCGTCTGACGTGGCGACCTCCGTGATCGACTCAAGTAGATCACATTGCCATTAGCCATCGTTGGAGTTGCTCGATTGAAGAGTCTCATTCTGGAGCACATGTTTAGACTCGGATCATGTCCTAGTTTGAGTACGTATTTGTCTGTATCTCACTGGACGTAGAAAAGTCAGGAAGAAAACTCCTTATAGTTCAACTCAATGATGGGGAAATTAAGATTGTATTTCAGGAACCATTAGAGGAGTTGTTCAACCGTGAAAGTGGTATCCAACCTGATGTAGCTTGATGTGATATCCAAAAGCAGCGATACCTACTAGTAACCTAAACCAAAGGGTTAAGAAAAATTAGTGGATTTCGGTGGCGTCTACAGAACTGATTGATGCTTACAAACTCATCCTGTCTGGCTCTGAATCACAATTCTGAAGGCCAACACATCATAACAAAGAAAAACTGTTAAGCATCAACGATATAATTAATTATTGCATTAGCAATCAAATTAAAAAATAGTTATCAAATCATAAAAATACATAAGGAGGAAAATAAATTTTGAATAAAAAGCAAAAGTACCGTAAAAAATAATAAATAAATAAATGAGAAATGAATTTTTCTGGGTAATCATTATTAATGACATAGAAACCTTTTGATTCAACCAATCAGAGAGAGGGGATTCAGATAAATAATTTACACCCTGTAAGATGCTAATTCTAAACAAAAGAGAACGATTATTCAGAATCAACCTCCTCTTTATCACAAATTACTTTATAGGTACCTAAATTAAACAATAAATGTTTGTGAATCTTATTTATCTTATGATTATTATTAGTATCGAGCAGCAAATTTCACCTGTCAAACTGATTGGGTTATCAGGATCAGTTATATGAGAAAATAGTGGAAGCTGAATTTTAATCAAATGAAAGATATCAAAAGTAAAAACATAAAATGAGGAGAGCAGTGATGAGACTGGAGGATAAAAACACTAAATGTCTCTTGATAGTGTATTTGAACTAGAAAGGCTGAAACAATTATGATAATTGTATTTCTGTTTTCGTATTTTATGTCATGAGTACTTCAAATACTTTACAGTTTCATAAGACTCAGGTCACAGCTTGTTATTTTAGACACAAACCTCAATGTGACAAAAAATTACATAATTAATGGCAAAATAGGCTTCATTGAGTGAAGAAAGTTAATCAGATGCTTCGTCACTTGCTTCTTCATTTGGAAAAACATGCTTACTGTTTTGAATATAACGATTAGATTGAGCTAGCATTGAAGTATCTCCCTGAAGTGATGAACAAGACGAACGCTTATGACGAATCCGGCTATTATGTCCCTTTATCGAAGTGTTGTTACCACGGGACTCTATATTTTCATTGGTTTTATTCGTACCATTAAAGCATGTTGTTCTTTTAGAGTCTGGATTTGGATTATAAACTCCCGGAGTAAATGAGTCACCACTGTCAACGCGTTGTCCAATCATATTTACATAAGCATTGAATTCTTCAGACATCTGAGCATACACTTGATGTCCGGCTCCTTCGATTACCTAAAATATGGGTATTCAGATTACTTCCTGTAAGATTGATACCATAATAAAAATCTAACAAAAATAAACAATCATTTTATTAAATAGACGGGTGATTTCGAAACAACATATGCTAAAATTATTTAGGAGTACAGGTGATATAACTGATAAAATTAATTAACTGTGATACCTGAAATGATGCATGAAGTTAGAACGAAATGATTGAAAAAATCTAGGAATTAAAACTCATTTGTATACTGAAATAGCCTCCTACGTTAGATAATAAATAATTATTCAAGGAAGAAATCAAAAATCAACTAATACTATTTCGCGTTTGCCCGTTGTAGCGATGATTATGTAAGGGAAAAACAACTTATTTGAATGTAACGCAACCTCATCTTAAAAATGTAATCTTCCATCCACATATTAACGAAATTATGGAATTGAAATGATAAGGCTACTTTTGTTGAGTATCAATATATATTTTACACATTAAAAAAGTCTACATATAAATTATGCCAATACATTGAAGTAAGTATGACGCTTAGCGCAAGGATGGTCATGGATTGTTCATAGGTCTAAGCAGATACGTTAAAATTTAAACGCTAAGAACTGCCTAAGTAAAGATTAATATATATACTTGAATTTTTTTAAAGTATTCCACAATTAATCAGGAAATGTGGATGTACATGTTTGTGAAATTCCATCTCATAACTTACAACCATTTACGCAATATATATTTACGACGACAATAATGATTAACTATTGACTAAAAACAATTCAATTTAATAAGGTACACCCTAGTCAGTAACAACAAAATGTTAGTCTTGTTTTGTTTTGTTTTTAAAACAGGACTAGTTACTGTAATTGCTTTATATGCATTTCTATACTTATAGATATGAAAAAAATGAGAAATTAAAATACCTCAAAAGCCACATTCGTTAGGGTGTGAACCACACCAATAATGAGATATTACTGAAGTCCCAACAATAAATTAGGTAACATTAATTTAATTCAACAGACAAATAACGACTGCTAGTCAGTATGAGCAAGGCCTAAACAGAAGCCGTCCAACTTAGAATAAATGAAATGAAAAGCTTCATTTAGAGAGACAAGTTTTAAAAGAACTCCATTAAAAGTCTTAATTAAACTATCTGGAACATCATTATTTAGTGAATAAACACGAAGGTAATAACCATATTTGAATCATAAATTGGATCGTAATCATACAAAATTACCAGTTCAACACAGCTATTTCAGCTACAACATATCATAGCTCAGTCAAGTAAATTTGGTACACTAGAATATTTACACTTTATCAGTCAGATAAATCATTCACAATTCCTGGATCTGTTCATTCATACAACAGATAACTGGAATCAAGAATTCTGGGTTCGGAAATTTTCGAAGTATGTCAACCTAGATTGCATAAAAAACACGAATGAATCAAAGTAATGTACATGGTAAAAACTGTAGTTGCAATTAACTGTGTTTAAATAAAAAAACTGCTCTATTATTAGATTTACTTAGTTTTCCTGATGAGTTTTATCATCGTTAATTATGTAAATACTCTTGAAAACGAGAATGATTCCCATTTATCAAATCCAGAAGGTAAAATGCATATAAGTAGTGCGAATAAAAACAAATCATATCCAATGGTTTGAACAGAATGTGTTATCATTTACCATAAAGCATAATTCAACTTATCTTCCAAAATATGACTTTATGTATGAATGAAAGGTAAACAAGACCACATGTTCTTTATTTTCAGTCGCTTAAAAACCTAGAAAACGTGTAAGTGATAATTTGGATTGTCATATCCTAACGGAAACTGAAGGGATAGAAACTTCTAGAACTAATCCATGGACTATTGTTATATATAATCCTATTGTATAATTGTTGTTTATACGATTTACCATTCTTATCTGTTGCCAGTTTGTTATTTACTGCCTTCCCTATTCATAGCCACTTGGCTTGATTATGCATAATTGTTATTTTTTACTTTATGGTGTGATGTTTGGTATATTTATATAGAAACTACGTCTTGTTGAAATATAATATAGTGGATTTTGGTTACCAACTTCTGAACTCAAGGGAATGGCAGAGAGAGGACTACAGAATGGTGAACCAGTAAGGATCTAACAAGTGACCCAAAGTTACTAGTACTGAACAGACGTGTAATTGATCAACTCAGATACTAAATTATATAAATCAGGATTCTGATTATTGGTTTTGTCATGTGATATTAATCAGTGGTCATAAAACATAACCTGGATCATTTTTAGAGATCCGAATTGGTATATGTGGAAAACTCCAAGTAAGGATAAAATAGGTTTTAACTGCACAACTGATGTCATTAACTATGGCAAATACTTCTAGAGCCAGAAGTAGTGTACTTTAAGTTATTACGAGTTAGAGCATATGAAGTAAAGACCGGTCTTCTCATCGGGAAAAAATTAGGAAGCTTACAGAAGTCACTAAATGAAACAAAATAACCACTTGGTGCAGTCTAATACGAATTAATAACTAGTTTGTAAAACAAATTATCATCCAAATCTATTGAATAATGGACAGTAGTATTACGCGACGATCCAAACAGCAGCAATCCCATGAGGATTTTAAATTTCAACTTACTTACTTACTTACACCTGTTACTCCTCGTGAAGGAGCATAAGCCGCTCACCAGCATTCTCCATCCAACCCTGTCCTGGGCAATCCTTTCCAGCTCCTTCCAGTTGTAATTCATCGTTTTCATATCTGCTTCTATTATCCGACGTAATGTGTTCTTTGGCCTTCCTCTTTTCCGCTTCCCTTCAGGATTCCAAGTTAGAGCTTGCTTCAACTGATATGCTAGTATCTACTAACCAATCTGTCTTATCAGAGCATTCCTGAATGGCTGATATGTTAGCTTTCCATACATTTGGGCGCGGTGTAACCTGATCGTATAACATGTCCCTAGTTCTAAACGCGAATGACAAAACAGCGTGACCGATGTTTACTAACGGTGGAAGAATATTTAAGTCGACAATATCCTCAGTCTCATGAGTGATTACCAAGTCCAACAGAGAACCTTGGTTAGCACCAAAACGTGTCGGTTTGGATACATGCTGCACTAGTGCATGCTCCATTATTGTTATCAGTAACCTACTATCAAAGGAGTTTATAGATTTTCTGTCGTCATATCAGTCCAACTAATATCAGATGCGTTAAAGTCTCCTATTATCAAGCACCTGGTATTATCACTGCAAAGATGAATGTGCTCTAAAGCAAAGTCATCAGCTAAGCAGATTGGGCTCCGATAGATGACACCTAGCATAAATGTACTACATCCTATTGCCAACTTACAGCTAATGACTTCACAAGTGCCGCTATCATGGGATTCGCTAGTAGAGGAGCGGATATTTATGCCATTAGCTATATATAACAGGACGCCGCCTCCTTTTCTACATCTGTGTCTATCACTCCTGATGCAATGGTATCCGGATAATTCTGGAGTAATGTCTAAGTCATGGACTAACCAAGTTTCTGTCACTGCTACTATGAATGGCTTTAACCTGTCTACTAGTGCTTCTAGTTCATAGAACTTATTTCGTAAACTACGAGCGTTGGCATATAAAACTCCTAAGTAGAACAGCCTATCCACACAGGCCTTCGTAGCATTCGCTTCCAAGACCTGACTATCCGAAAACCCACTAGCCGGAGATTTTCCTCGCCGTTTTGCCGACGGGTTTCAAGTTCAGCTAGTGCTTTCTTCCTTTTTATTCTATCTTCGAGAGACAAGTCAGGTCTAACTCGGATGTCAGAATTGTCGTGACAACGAGCGCTACTTAACAAGAGATCCCATTGCTTCTCCGATCCTAGGATTACCTTAAGGAGTCTGCATGGACGGGGTTCAACAATGTCCTCGGTCCTATTGCCTATTCTTACCAATTTTTTGACCTGAACTCCTTTGGAGTTATCTGGTAAAATACTACGAATGTATTCTCCTAGCTTTTCTAAGTCATGCGCGTGTCTAATTTAGGGGTCAAAGTCGTTTGACTCCCGCAATTTGCTCGCAATGATATTCGATGTTATTAGATTTTTCTTCTCAGTCACGCCAGGATGGGTTTCACTCTTACCATCAGATCTTGGTAGTGCAATTTGTGGCTCACAATTTGAGTCCACCAGTGAATTACTAACCACCTGTGTACTGCTTACAGCTTTTTCCTCTTCGTTTCGTTTCCTACGCACCGTAGTCCATTTTTCATCCCTCATAACACTGGGACTATTTGGAACGATGACTGTTTTATCCAGATCTTCGGTTCCCATTAAAGATGCATTATTAACAATGTCAGTACCAGGTGGTACTACTCCCCCTGTTAATGTCAACGAAGATTTCACTTTTACGTCGGTCAGAGTCGGTTGTTTGAGGCGTCGCGTAAAAGCAGGTACTACACTGACACATTCGTCACTGTCAGTGCGCGTGTTGTCAGCGCATATGCCATCCTTCTTTTTACAGGCCGAAGCCAATAGGCTCATAGCCTTACTTACTTACTTACACCTGTTACTCCTCGTGAAGGAGCATAGGTCGCTCACCAGCATTCTCCATCCAACCCTGTCCTGGGCAATCCTTTCCAGCTCCTTCCAGTTGTAATTCATCGTTTTCATATCTGCTTCTATTATCCGACGTAATGTGTTCTTTGGCCTTCCTCTTTTCCGCTTCCCTTCAGGATTCCAAGTTAGAGCTTGCCTCGTGATGCAGTTTGACGATTTACGTAATGTATGTCCTATCCATTTCCATCGTCTTTTCATAATTTCCTCTTCAGCTGGAAGTTGGTTTGTTCTCTCCCACAGAAGGCTATTGCTGATGGTATCCGGCCAATGGATGTTGAGTATCTTGCGTAGACAGCTATTTATAAATACTTGTACTTTCTTGATTGTGGTTGTTGTAGTTCTCCAAGTTTCAGCTCCATACAGTAGAATTGCCTTGACGTTCGTATTGAAGATTCTCACTTTGATATTGGTTGAAAGTTGTTTTGAGT